TCTAACTATATTTGGCTTATCTAAGGACGTCATCTAGCATTATGTCTATAATCTGTTTGTATTCTAGCTCGTAGGAGTGGATGGCGTAGAGGTGGTCGGTGTGACCGTAGTCTCTGAGAGCCACCTTCATGAGCCGGCGCACGCCGGGGACTTCTTTGGCTAACCTCTGGACGTCCTGGAACGTGGAAAAAAACATTAATCAAACTTCGGGCTGTATTATACGCGCATCGTGCTATCGTGCACGTGCGCCGATTTCCGGTCGTTCAGGTGGCGCCCAAATTCAAAGGAGCTTAGGTCGCCTGAGATGAAAAAAAAACCACTCCGATCTTTGTAAACACCCGCATTTTTCTGGTTGGGGAATCCGTTTTTCTTATTTTTATTTTCCCGCTCACGAAAACAGACGCGACTTCCCTGCTTGATGAAATTTTGCCATTTCCTACAGAATTTTGCCAAATACTGATGTTACTTTCCAACACCACAACTTTGGTACAGTATGTCAAAACTTTCCATTCAAATTCAAGGAGGCTGCAAAATTTGGCATTCTCGGGAGGACTGCCAAAAGTTTGGCATGCAAAAGAGGGCCGGCAATAATTTGGCATTCCACAAGGATGACGTGTATAGTGTCAAGCAAAGGGGCCTCCGGGGGGGCCTGGAGAAGCTCCAGCAGGCCGTTCCAGAACGCGACTGGGAAGCGGCCGCTCGCGGGAACGACGTCCCTGACGTAATTGCGGCTCAGGCCTTGGCTTTGAACCGCGGCTCGCGGCTCCTTTACCTTCGCCGGCGAGAAGGGGTCGCCTTCGGCGTAGTTTAGGTACACGGGCGCCACCACGTTGCCCAGCTGGTACTCGGGCGGCTTGGGCTGCCGGTAGCGAATCAGGTTCTCCTTCTCTCCGTAGTCGTACTTTTTGAATTCGCCTGCAACGTAGGAGTTGCGAGGGGGTCAACGGCTTAGATATTTGCAAAACAAGAGGTGGAGTGGATACTTTTCTTGTTTGTTGTTGTTGTCGTGGATGACTGACCTGTGACCATGATCTGGAGGTAGTGCAGCAGCTGCCCCAGGGACGAGCCGGCCGGGTAGTGGCCGATGAGGATGCGGAACAGCGTCTGCAAACAGTCTGGTGTTATTGCAACCCCCTGGCCCCACCACGCCCCGCCACGCCCCGCCACGCCCCGCCACGCCCCGCCACGCCACGCCCTGCTCACCGAGTTGAACTCCCCGGGGCTGGAGCCGCCCGCTGCGTTGTACACGGCGGTGCACAGCTGCACGGCCCCCTTGCAGGCGTCGCCCGAGCCGCGGGGGAACGCCTCACCGATGAGCCGCTGGCTCTGCAAAAGAGGCGAGAAAACAGCGGTGGTAACCGCAATCACAATCATCGCACAACCGTCGCAACTATCCGCCGTGCTTCCTGGGTCATAGCCGCAAGTACACGGCGGCGGCGCGCCAACGCGCGTCCGGAGACCTCCCTGAAGGTTGTCCGCATCGACACACGGGATGCACCGGAGCCATTATTTGGCGCCAACGACTCATTCCTGGTGCTACATTGTGTCATTGTAAACATTCCGCAGCTCAGCAAGGGTTCTCGAGCAGGAACAAAAGAAAAATGTGTGAGTCCATGCTGCTCGCGTCTCCTCATACTAACCGCCAGGCCGGCGAGCGTGTCCCGGGCGACGGCCAGCGGGCCCCAGGTGTGGTCGAAGTGGACGACGGGCGCGAGCAGGAAGGCGCCGCGGATGCGCCGGTTGTACTCGGGCTGCTCGGCCAGCAGGGCGAGCAGCGTGGTGGTGCCCATCGAGTGGCCGATGTAGTGCATGCTCGGCTGCCCCGTCACCGCGCCCACGTAGTCGACCATGGCGGGCAGGTCGTACACGGCGTTCTCGTGCCACCTGCAACGCAGTTAGTTTTGGTCAGTCGTCGGCGGCGGCGGAGGATGGCAGGTCCCCGCCGTCACCGCTGACGCTGCTGTCCGCCGACACGGAAGTGGACCCGGGCACGCACCGGACGTCGTGCATCTCCCTCGGCGGGGCTTATTACTCCAAGACCCTTACCCGAAGTCCCAAAACTTCTGGCTCTTGGGCGAGAGGTAGGCGTGTCGACGGCCGTACGCTGAGCCCCGGAAGTTGCCCATCCAGACGTCGAATCCCAGGTCCGCGAGCAGGAACGCTAATGAGAAAAAGCAAAGTTTCCACTGCTGGACTGTTTTGGTACTTTGTTAAACCAGTATATGAGATTCGAGGATGGCCGCTTACGCAGGTCCTTCTCCGGGCCGCGCATGGTCCACTGGTCGGCCGTCTGCAGCAGGCCGTGCTGCAGGAAGACGACGGGCCTGGGGTCGGCGCCGGGTGGGCTGCGCCGGCTCCACGGCACGCGGAACAGCGTGACAACGTAGCCGTCCCTCGTCTGGACGCGGTGCGACTCGGCGGGGTAGCCCCAGTGCAGGATGAGCTTGGCCTGGGAGTCAGATAAAAGCGCCGTTCAGAGTGTGGTGCCGTCGCGCTGCAACCGCATACCTGGCTGCAAATTATGACGTCGCGGTGACGTAAAAGCCGCCACCGCCACCACCACACCGCGCGCCTCCGCCCTTGACCGTGGCCGCCGCCGCCGCGCCGTGTGAGCGAACCCGATCCAGAACCAGGAGAGTTCTTTCACCGCGGCGGCGCCACGACGCCCGCGAAGGAACGCCGCGGGCTCCACGCAATGAGCCGCCGGCTGTACTGCCTGTACGTGGCTCGGAGGTGGATCTAAACCGCAGTAGAGTCGCGTCCCACCGCACATGGTAGTCCGCGGCCGCGCGGCTCATCTGCCTTTTGTTTACAGTCTGTGTCTTTTCGTGTGAAACTGGCTTTTGCTCGGCCGGCTCCGGTCCCGGGCATCATCCGACAAACCCGACCGGCTCCCCGCGCGCGTGTGTTTGTGTGTGTGCGCGCGCTTGTCTGTGTGCCCTTCTCGCCAATTCTCAAGATCAGAGGTCGATGCATGATCCACCTCGGGTCCACCGGGCACACTCGTCTGACCATCTCACGTGGATGCCGATGCCGCCCGTGTTGGTCCAGTAAAAAGTACACACTATACGCGCGGATGAAATAAGGCGATGTCTCACAAGTAATCGTTTGGGCGTGGCAACCAAAGAAAGTCTGACTCGAACTTCTTTGGACCTGGCCTCTGTGACACCTGAACACTCTTTAGTGTTTGGTAAAAACAGGTTTTCTTCGCGTAAAGATCATACTAGCCCATTTTCCCTCTTTTAAATATTCGCGTCTAGCAGCGCCCCCCTCACCCAGACAAGAGGAAAGATATTGTAGCAACCATTTCCTATATGGTAGACCGACCAGGGACAACCATAACAAATGCCATTGTACCAACACTCACGTGGTCACATCATCGACGGAAAAATGGCGGGAAATGGTTCGGTTTGCTGTTTTCGTTGCTGGCACGTGTTGCCGCAACCATATTTTGACGGATGTCCCTGGTCCAGTACACCATGCGGTGTAGCACTACAGGTTTTCGTTTTTCTGGGCGAGCTGCCGTTCTAGTGTGTCGTGTCTGTGCCGCCGATAAGCACGCTAGGTTGATGGCAGGACACCGCGCTGCCGCCTTGCTGCCGCGCCGGCCGCGCCCTCCAGGCGGGCGTTACAGGAAGATAAGGGCCACTGTCGGTCTAGGTCAATACCACGTTAATGTGCGTGACAGAAATCACAAGGACACGACAACCGAGTAAACTTACAAAATTAAGACGTCAGTACTTTGCATACGAAAACGGCATTAACAATGAAATGCGACGAATGGTGCGTTGTCGGTGTAGCAGATCTCGAAGTCAGGGCTCCATCGCGGGTGTATGTCAGTTGAACGTTCTGCCATTGCTGTTCTTGTTTGATGACACAACTACTGTCTGCTGTGGTGCATCGTCAGCTGGAAAGGCGGGTGGGCGGGGGGCGTTGTCTAAGGCCGGCAAATGTTAAAATTCGCAGTCGGTCAAGCTACACGGGGAAATGTGCGAAAGCAAAGTAGCTACTGTCACTTTGTACTAATGTACTCTGAGAGTTTTCTTTCCCATTCAAATTATACACCTTAAATGGTGTTGCTTTGTAGCGTGTCACGGAGAGAGCAAAAAAAAAGGGGGGGGAGGCGCTTTGGTGCCCATTAGACTTCCAACTCACCCCGTATAAGTTGGCCTCCACGGGCTCTGAGGCCTTCGCTATGCTCTGCGACACGGTGCCCACCAGCACGGCGGGCAGCGCCACCATCCTGGCGAGCAGGGAGCGGTTGAGGTTGGTGATGAGTGCGTTGGCGAGGTTGGCGCCGGCGGCGGTCTCGACGGAGGTGCTGCGGCGGCGGCCGCCCTCGGCCGGGGCCAGGGCTAGGAGGAGCACGGCGGCGGCCAGCCCCAGAAGGGTGCGGGGCCCGCGTGCCTGGCCTCGTCCAGACATGGCCTGCTGGTCGCAGCTAACTCGCTCGATGGACTGCGCCGCCGCACGCCTCGCGCGCCACGCCACGACCCGCGACACG